CTTCAGAAGACTTCAATAATAATACCCAGTTGTTTATTTAACCATTTTTTAATAATGACGATTTTGTATTGGTCCCCCATTGCATTTTCGAGGTTTTCGCGGACCTATAAATTATAGTTATTATCAAAAAATAGTTAAATAAACAATTGGGTATTATTTTTGTGAGTCTTTTGCAGAGAAGCTGAGTTTTTTGATCGAAAAATATTGATTTTTAAGAATCCTATATCATTTCTACGAAAAGTTGTTTTTCCCATATAAAAATTTATGGAAAACTTTGACTGCTCTAAGGGACCTCTAAATATTTTTTATTTAAAAAAAAATATAGGCATACTTTGTTCGATATAGAGCAATCCTACGGGGTGAGAGCATGCATTTTTTTTATTTACCCTAATGTATATACATACATACTACATACACGATCAAGAAGAACTAATAAATTAATATAATTTCAGATTGTTATAGCGATATTTTCCTTTGTTTATGGAAATCCATTACGTGTCATTAACGGTTATGATTCATTCGGGAACACGTGTGGTGTAAATCGCAATGAAAAATTTACGAACTTCCCCCTTTCCGGCATGAACACGATTGATAAACCGCAGTTATTTTATTTTGATTTTAAAAATCCACGCCAGTCGATTAAAATATGCGTAAAAGAATGTCCCAAAAGGGATATTACAACAAAGGAAGATCTCTTCAAATACTACATGGACACCCACACAAAATTTTGTCGCTATGATTTCGTTATGGATACATTACTCAATACCAATTCCAAGGATACTGACACATTTTTCAATTATTTGGGACCATGCCCGAAACTTCCAATCTATGAGGAGTAAGAAAAAATATTTTGTACATACATACTATCGCATGAATAGATCTAAAATGCGATCAACTCAAGAAAAAATTCGCGCAATTTTTTTGCATAAACCAATTCATAGCACTTACCTCCAATCGTTCCTACGACAGTCGGGTCTACATAACCGGAACGATGCAGATTTATATCCGGCCAAGGACTGGCACTCCAGCATCACTCCCAAAAACTGTTTGGGAAATTTATTTGCTGTTAAAACAAAAATTTACCTCCAATTAATAAAAATGTTTTTTCTTATATACACTAACTAAAAAAATACTGTAATACCTGTTTATGTAATAATTGCGTTGAATCGCTATGATCCACAAGCAGTTATATTTCCCGATCTGAATTTTGAGTTAGCTCACTTTAGATCTAGGTGTGCGATATGTTTTTATATCTATGTATATTTATTTTATAAACTCTTAGATCTCCCGTTTTGCATCGCTGTATGCCAAAAGGCAAAAATGCTGTTGAATTGTATAAGTTACTAAACTCATGGGATGTAGCTCAACAATTTTTAGGGGATATATATTCTACCTGGCACATTGTGGCTATTATATGCGGTTTCGCATTGTGTAAGTTTATTTATAGATACTTTTACATACACATTCGAGTATTCGTAATTAAATAAAAAATGAACCAAGCTTGGTAAAAGAGCCAAAGTGGTCTAAGCACCTTAATTAAAAAAGGATATAAGAACAATAAGCGTGCATAATTTCGCCATATTTTTATTTTTAAGTCCGACTAATAAATGAATTTCTTGCCTTTAACAGTGATATCAATTGCCTTAGTGACACTTATGCATTGGATGTCTCGCATCATTTCTTGGCTTATCTGTGTTCTGGTTATTGTGGCCAGTTTAGCTCTTACGGCTGCACTTTGGTATGCCTACTATAGCATACGACACGATGCAAAGGTAAACGCTCAATACTCCATGTTGGAGGAATTTATAAGGAACGAAGATGCTGTCTATATACTCGCCATATTAGCTACTATAACGTTGGTGAGTACCCAATTATAAGAAAGTTCCAAGTGCAAGTATTTGATCTAATTAATAATTCCCAATTGTGCATTCTAGATAGTTTTAGTGGTTATAATTTACTTCCTAAAAAATAAACTATCTGGGTTGTCGTCACTCTTTGAAGAAGCTGGCGTTTGTATGATGAATTTGCCGGGTTTGTTGATTGCCCCTCTACTGGCCTTTACTGTTCTGGCAGTGTTCCTGGCTTTTTGGGTGTTGGTGGTGATTTGTATTGCTACAGCTAGTGCGCCAGGCCAGAGTCCAATTGCACCATTCGATAATACAGCAGCTCATCAACAGCCTTCACTAACAGATATTGCTCCACCGAAGAATACCTCAGAAGTTAACTTAAAGAGTGAGTTTTAAATATTTTTGCAGTATGTATGTATGTCTAATCTAAATGTGTGCGATATTCGTATCGGCTTAGCGTATATGTATGTGTGTAATTAAAATTAGTTTTTCGCTAGTTTTTGTGTTTCCCTTCTAACATAGTACATACCTGATTTTCCCTTATTAAAATTGTGCGTTCGCAAGTCCATTAAACTGTGCTAAAATGTAAGTTGTCCGCATATTTAAGTATTTAATTTTTTAAACTCTACAAAAATGCTGTAAAACTATTTTTGTATATATTTGTATGTGTGTACATATATATGCATATTAGACTGCATAAAAAAAAAAATTCCAAGCGATTTAGAACACTTTGTCAGAACCAGGCGCCAAACAACGCTTGCAGAAAACAGTTTTAACGTGTAAATTTGTTTTCCGACACCCTATATAAATAGCCGATTTCTATTAATGTTAATTTTTTTTTCTTTCCTGAAATACTCTTCTCCTATTGAGTGCTCAAAATCGCTTGAAACAAATTGATATTTTTTTCAGCCCATACGGTCTAATGTGTGTATATATGTATGTATGTAATTACGAGTATTTGAAATGCTTTTTTAAGTGTTCTAACGCTCTTTGTATTTCAGCCATTTTACGCGTAGAATACACTGAAGCCAAGGCCATACGCGGTATGTTTTGGATTTATGTGATTGGACTTATTTGGACCACTGAATTCATTTTTGCATGCCAGCAGTTTGCGCTCGCTGCTGCAGTTGCTTTTTGGTATTTTCAAAAACCCACATCCACTCCTACCACTTACGCCATTGGAAAGCTACTGAAATATCATTTGGGTACTGTAGCCAAGGGTTCGTTTGTGATAACAATTTTCAAAATTCCTCGACTCATTTTGACCTATCTTTACGCCAAGTAAGTATTTGTATATCTCTACAATTTTTTTTTTAAACATCTTTTTCTAAACTACGTTTTTTTAGGTTTAAAAAGGGTTCAGACAAGGGGTCGGAATGCGCAGATTGCTGCTTGAAATGCTGTATTTGTGGTTTTTGGTTGCTTGAAAAATTCATACGGTTTTTGAATCATAATGCATATACCGTTGTTGCTATTGAGTCCATAAATTTCTGCCCGGCAGCGGGTATTGTAAGTGGTGACCTTTTTTAGATCCACAGTAAAATAGTTGTTTGAAATTCTATTCATTTTCCTAGGCATGGAATGCTATGGCAACAAATGCGCTTCAAGTGGCAACAATAAACAGCGTTGGCGACTTTATACTTTTCCTTGGAAAAGTTTTTGTGGCAGCTATTAGCGGTCTTATAGGCATTTTCATGTTGAAAGATCGCCCCGGACTGAATTTTTATATGGCGCCAGTTATTATCATCATAATTTTTTCATTTTTCATAGCGCACATTGTTTTGACATTGTTTGAGGTAAGTGAATTTGTTCAAGTTCTTCTGTCTTGAACTGACTTTATTTAATTTGGACATATTCTTTCAGATGGTGGTAGACACACTATTTCTATGTGTTTGTGAAGACAAAACAATCAATGGCCGAGGCGGTCGTTGGGCTCAAAGCAATCTTGCTAAATTGGTAGGCGAAGAGCCACTACAGCCCGGCGAAGAACCACCTATACAAGTGGTGGAAATGATGCCCATCAACAAAGAACCATTCAGCGTAACTAGACTACCGCGCACTGATGTCATTGATGGTGTCACTGAGTAAAATCAAAATTTACTAAAAATGAAACACTCCAATTTACATTATATTCAACAGCATGGCTTTGATGTGCGCCATCATTATTTTTAACTTAAGATATTTATTTAGATTTTCATATTTTTTATAATATTTTATACAGCGTACACTCAACATATTTTGCGAGGTACATGAAGTAAATCGATTAGAATGCAATAGGGTTCATATACCTACCAAAGTAAAAGACATTAAGTGCATGCGTTCACTTAAGAACAATTTCAGACTTGAGCTAATTAAGAACATTTAACTACTATTCATAAAAAAATTCCTGTCAAGCAAATTTAATCAATTCTCATTAAGGTAAATCTGTCTATGCACAATATAGAAAAAAAAACTAGTAACTAATTCGTACTAAAATATAAATACTTTTCAATAATAATGTTACATCATTTATTTACCACATTTAACTACGTACCTTATTATGAAGAACCAGTAATAAATAAGACAATTATTTACAAATTAGCGTTATTTATTTTTATTTGATACTTTTGCTTTCTTCTTTGCAATAAGTTCAACTGCAGCTTTTAGTTGTTTCTCTTTGATTTTCTTCGTCAGACCTGATTTAGTGGACTTTTTCTTACTGGCTTCAGCTGAAGTCTTCTTTTCCTTTGCTTTTTCTGTGAAGTGAAAAAGTAATACTACATCAATGCATTTAGATTTTAAATAAATCTAATAGAGCCAAATTGCTTTATTAGCGTTGGATTGAAATAAGAAATAACATATGTACAATTTTTTTAATTCAAAAATCTTTTATTTGAAAACTTTGCTGGACTATAGCTGAATCCATCGTAGTCCGATCTTCGTGAAATTACGAATATGCGACCACTGAGTCCGAATTGCTACGAACGCATGGATTCGTAGATTTCAGCAAAAATTCGGACTACCATAAATTCAGTGATAGCATTGATGATATTTATGACTTACCTGCTAATAATTTGGCTGTGGTTAATGCGTTTTCGTTTTCAAATAACTCATCATATTCGAGTCCTTCGTATGCTTCTTTTGGCCGGTTTGCCTCTTGATGTACCTTTTGTTCTACACGGTTGACATATCTCTCCTTTGCTGCCTTCTTGAGCATTTGACGTTGCCGCGAGGGACTGACATAGTTTGGATTTTCCCATATAGCAGTCCCAGTAAACGATCCTTCAAATATTTTAACGGGATTCATTACAAATCTTGGCCCAATTTCTGCTAAACCGCCATCTTCCGAAAGGACTTGAAAATTTCTAAACCATATGCGGTGATCCAAGTATGTAAAAGTATAGACATGATCTATGAATGGTTGACTTTTGGGATGGTGATTTGGTACCCCGAAGGTTTGCGTGAATAGTTCTTTCAATAATTTCAAGTAAGGTACTTCATCGAATTTTGCATCAAAAGACAACAAAGGCCTGGAACCGCGCAAACAGTTCCCAGTCATTTTTAATTCAGCCATGGTATGAATATTTTCCACAAGGAACTTGGCTGACGGTCCAGTTGATGCATTAGCAACCCACATATATAAATCGCGTTTACGACGGCCTTCGAATAGTATTGTTTTATTACAATGCTTCATTTCACACATATCGTTTATCACAGAAAGTGTTTTAGAACGTTCCATTTTAGACTCTGGTCGGTGATGTGGCATTAAAGTTCTTATATCACGCATCAAATGACGGTCACGGTGATTGATGCCTCTCGCAGCAAAAACTAATACACGTTGCTTGTTAATCCATTTCTCCTAAAAAAGAAAGGCACTGTATAAAAAAAAGTCAATTTTGCGGAAAATATCATTAACTTCGTTACCCTTTTCGGTACAACGTCTTCGGATGTTCTCTGAGGCGGAAGTGGAGGATTTTCATCAATAGGTACGATCTCAAGCTGCTGTACCTTTTTCTTTTTGTGAGTTTTGCGTCCCATTGTTTAAATGTAAAATATGTCTACCCTTCGAAAAAAGCGCCGCACGTGTAGCTAGATTTTAAAAACAAAACACGCATAGGGATGCAAGCGATGCATCGATAATTTTGAAACGTCAATAACATGGGTTCAAAATTCGAGGTTGGCCATCGATGTTTACAATTTCCTAAAATTGCTAAATGGCCAGTTTCATTATGCTTCTAAAATTTTTTTACTAGCCATGAATTTTAATATTATTCTTTTGGAGAACATTCAGAAATTCCGAGTTTACTCTTATCTTTCTTTAAAAGTGCTTACTTAATCATTAAAAACGACCGGGTTTACAAGCTAAAAATTTTGAAACATTGGAAACCATAGATATATCGATGTTTTTCTGGCGATGTATGTAAAAGCACATTTAGCTCTAGTTGCTACTCCAAATGTACATTTATCCATATAAAATTCGTCACGTAAATGCAACTCCATTTCTGCATAAAGAGTCTAAATGCTAAAAGCAACCCTGTCATGTTCAAAAATGTCCACGATTTGAACATGGTTTAATGAGAAAAATTGGTAACATTGCCTTTTCGCGTATACAGTTGCTAGCTGCTTTTCAGTGATCGCTGATCGAGATTTCATTTATTATTGTACATTATTTGGAAAAAGAAAAGTCGCGCAAATTCAACATCGCTGTGATACTCATAGAAATCTGGCTCAATTTGTGATCAACTCTGTTTGTTTTTACCTTCCTCTTATTAGCTCGGGATGTAACTATGTAATATTGATGCGCCTAAAAGATGCAGCGATTTCTATTCTCAAGTTACATACCTGATGACAGTACGAATGGCAATTATAATAGGGAGGTTTTAGTTTCTTAAACTACAATTTTATTTTCCTATTTAATTGAGGAAATTTTAATTGACAACGCCGACAAACCATTTTTCGGTTATGGTTAAAACAATTAAAGTTTTTGTATTGATTTTTTTTTTTTTTTAATTTCTCTTTCTTTTCAGGTGGGTTTTTTGCACATTATATTCTCTGTGCGAATTGATCGTGATAGGTACGGATCTGAATAAGCGACTGGAACACGGCTGTTTTTTAAAAGCATACGATTTCGAACTCGCGTAAATGTACATTTGGTAAATGCGATAGCATGAACGCTCCTCGAAAATATATGTTCGAAAGTGCTAAATGGTGTATATCAAATGCAGCAAAAACGCTGCATTAGCATCGATGCTCATTTTTCCGATGCATCGAAACATCGATGTATCGATATACTCCCCAAAACTTTCATTCCTAATAGGGCAGAACTAAAATATTGGTGCAAGAATAGGTTTGTTCGTCGAAAATCCAGCAAGAATTATCCAACACTCAAAATATCAGAGAGTAAGAAAAAATTTTCTCAAATTCTCTCTCATGCTGAGAAACTTGCAAATTTCTGCACGAACGCAAATTTGCAGGAATTTGCAAGTTTCCCTGCCAGCTGGCGTCCACGGTTGCATTTCAAACATAAACATTTTTTATAGAATTTTTAAAATTCTTTCGGATGGCCAAAAACAGGATATACATGTATATTTCTTGTCGTTCTGACTTTCTTTAACATACATTTCAATTTTTTCATCGTACTAGCTGTCGGGTTTCTTAAATCGACTCTGGTTGCAATTGCATTCCGATAGCGAATACCATTTTTTCAGCCGAATTAAGTTCTAATCATTGGAATTAACTAAATTAATTATATAAACAATTATTTACTTTCGTTTTTCATAAAAAAAATCGCTCGTGTTTATAAATTTTTAAATTTAACGAACTAATTTATTCAAATTATTGTAGACAAAAATGCAACCATGCGCCAAAACCACATGTTTTTCGTGTTTGCAAATTCTTGCTGGCAAAATTTTTGCTCTCACAATTTTTGAGTGTTGGATAATTTTTTGGTCTGCACGAACGCGATTTGGGCAAAAATCGTGATAATTCGTACAAATTCGTACAAATTTTTTGCTCGACGAACAAACCTAATTACTCGGTAGTTTTAAACGATGTTCACATGAGGCGATTTTCCAGCCAATTTTAAAGGCCCTACTCACGCATTAGAGGTCTTCCCTTAACTCGTAAAAGCCTCATAAACCTCGTAACAGGCTAACCTAATATTCGCGACTTGCTTTTTGGTACGCATGCCGTCGAATTTGTTTTTTTGCGTCCCCCGAAATTGACTTGCATGCGTTTGCATTTGATTTCATTGAGCGAAACGACAAATCAAAATGTCACGCAGAACAAAAATTGAAAATTGAGTTAGCTTCATATGCACGCCGTTCAATTTCGGTTGATCTCATACAAATTGCATGTGCATGAGAAATTTTTGACAATAGGGCTATTCGCGATTCGGTGTATAAGAGCTGACAAATTTATGCAATTGCAGAAATATGCCATGGATTGTGAGCAACCTTTATTAAACTGTCATGGTAAAACTTTTTTAATCAGCTGATAGAAATGTCAACCAGATTTGCAATGCATAGCATTTTTATGCTATGGATTTTCGGTATTGCAAATTTGTCAAGCCATGGCAAATGCAAATGCGTGTATTTTGTTTGTGTATTGCAAATAATTTGCAATACAAATTTGCAATGCAATGATGCTAGGCCATTTGCACCGGATCGCGAATAGCCCTAATAAATTGGCGGCGTGCGTGAATATTAGCTTAGCCTGTAAAGCTTGTAAATTTACGAGCCACGTAAAAGAACTGTCAAAATATGTATGGAGCTCTATTTACAAGCCCCTCGTAAATTGACGAGGCAAATTTGATGCGCAAACGATCACGTAAACTTCAGTGTTGGGGCCGAAATTTTTATACTAAAATGAATGATAAAATAAATGTAAAAAATAATACGGGAATAAAATGAATGAATTTCATCCATTCTATTGACCTAGGTTTTCTGATAGTTTTCGGTATTTCTAATTGTATTTTAGCCGAGAGTGACAGAGACAAGGTGGCGGGATGTTATGGAAAATTCTACGAAAAAAAAATTGCTTTACAAAATCCTGGGTGATCTGTCAAACAAGTCACTTACGCACTTATTTACACATATTCACAAGGGGCTTTCCCATAAAAGCCTCGTAAACTTACGAGTTTTACACGGTTTAAGACTATACGAGTTAAAATCCCCTATGTATTATTAGAGATACTAATACTATGTTCTGACCGACACCGAAAACACTTTGAAAACGAGCTGTGGGCTGAAGGCTGTTCACACCGGCTGTTAGTGTTTTCGTTGACATTTCTTACATCCTCGCATTGCAGTTTTACTACACAAAAACAAAACCAAAATGCTTTTCCCACATTTTCTTTTCATTAGCAACCTCTTACTTTCATTCTTATTTTACTTTGGCCAGATTAACAATAAATACGAAATAACGTATTAAATATGATAAAATCTGACCTCCACTTCGATAAATAATCGAAAAAAACTAGTTAAGACACCGATTGGAACGAGTGGAACGTGAGTTTTCAAGTAGTTTTCAGCGAAAACTGGTGGTCGTTTGACAGATTTTACATGGACGAAAACACATGTTTTAGGCCGAAAACTAGTTTTAGCAACGAAAACATGTTTTCGATGTCGGTCAGAACATGGTATAATACAGATGGTCATAGTTCAGTGTTTAGCTTGGTATATTACACCGTAAATCATAATTAACTGTTAAGTGCTGAAAACGCTAGTACTTAAACCAACTATATAACAATAAATTCACAAACTAACACAATATTCATGTTTTTCACTAAAAATATTTTTTTAATTTGAAACTTACATTTAAGAAAACTCCTTTCAAAACTATAATTACGATTTGAGTTTTCCAGTTTATAGAAACACATGCGTTAATTATGTACTTAACTATTGCACTTAACTATTTTTAATTAATCATTGATATTATACTCAACCTACATTTTGTAGTAAATATCACATAATTATATATATTTTATTCTTGAAATGAACTTTTTCTAATCATGAGACGAAATTCTCCACATAAGAGTTGCTGTGCGCGCAAAACGAAAACCCTGCTCTCAACCCAAAAGTACTCCTCGGAGATCCATTGGTGAAAACTGCGGAAAGGTATATACTGTGCCGAAAGTATTCCGACAAGTGTACAGATCAGTGCAACGCGGAATCGATTCAGTTCGTGTTTAACATTAAACAAGTTAGACTTCCAGATTATCTGCGTGATATCCTACGATATAATAGTAAAACCCATTCATATTTACTCAGGGAAAATAATAGCTTCAGGCTGCCGCTGTATAAAACGGAAATAGATAAGAAGAATATCTTTTATAAGGGATTAAAATGTTACAATGAACTTCCAGCTCAAATAAAAAATTGTTAAAACGTTGGTACCTTCAAAAGGCTGCTACATGGTCACTGTAGAACATTCGCTATGAGATAAAAAGGTCCGGCATGGAAACTACTCCTTTCCATCCGTACTAGCGGGATGACTCCGGATCTCGTCCATTCAGATCACCCATTATGTACAAAATATTTAGGAAGGTCGGCATGGAAACTAGTCCTTTCCGTCCGATCAAATAGCGCGACTCTGGATCTCGTCCATTCAGATCGCCTGCCGGTAGAGAAGTCTATAAGAGGCGGCTTGGAAACTAGTCCTTTCCTACCAAAATTTTACTAAATGAAAAATGTGAAACTATTTTATTCGTCTAAATATGTGTGTTAAAAAGTTAAATATTTGCGTATGCATATCATAATAGTATCCATTGCAGAATATTATTCATGGAGGAAATAATTATTATGTACGTGGCTATTATTGTGGAGCAAGAAGAGATTATACAGAGAAGAAAACTTCTGAGGGAACTCCGACACAACAGTTTTTTGGGCAGTTTTTACACGTTTGCAGCTCGGGGTGGTCTTCACAAAACTGCAGCTGCTCTTGTGTGGTGCATTCATATGTTCCACGCCTGTTACTAAACGAATTCATCATAAAATGAAATACATTTTCCTATTAAAAAATTACTCACTTTTCCGGCATTTCGTAATCCATTGCTGCGGTGTATTTTATTTAAAAGAAATCCTGTCTGTTACAGTGGCAGTCAAAAAGAACAATTAAAATGC